GAAGAGTAGCCTCTGCTTGCCGCAGCTAGAGAAAACCCGCATGCAGCAACGAAGACCCAACACAACCAAAGGAAAAAAAAAAGAAAACAATTTGAAAAGAAAATTTTAAAAATTTTTTTAAATTTTAAAAAAATTAAAAAAAAAGAGAAGAAATGCAGTGGGACACAGGTAGCTAAGGATAGCTCCTAACTCCTTCCATCAGTATTCAACCTTCTACCTATGCTATTCATTTGGCTGCCAGGCTGCCAGTCTGTGGAAAATGTGGGAATTACAGGCCAGTTACACATGAAATACAATTACGTTTATAATCATTCCATTTTATATCTTATAGTAAATCCATAAATCTGTAATTCTGAATTAATTTAACTTGCAAAGTTTCTTCTCCATGTGTAAACAATAAAGTGTCAGATGTTAATATACTGACACCACTAACAGAACTTTGCAAACAGTTAAATTGTATCAGTTTTATCATCATCTGCAAACATTAGAAAATCAGTTATTACTCAATAATGGTATAATATTAAATACTTTCAATGGAATCAAAGGAAAGTTTCTGGGAAGTCATTCTATCAAAAGTGAAATGTGTGACACTAATGAAAATTCAGTTTAAAAAACTCAGCTAAAAATAAAACTTCTTTGGGGTAATAATACAAATATAAATTTTGGTGCAGCAAGATGTCATGGCAAAAACAGTGTTCTGACAGTCCCATAAAGTAGACATGTATCTGCAATCTATTTGGTGCACACATAGCTTGTTACCAAACAAGCAATATTCTACAGATAGAAAGAAAAATTATAGTCGTCAAATTTTACAAATATTTTAAAATCCACATTTAGATTAACTGAACTACAAAAATTTTGTGATGAAGACTGTACTGAATACAAAAAAGATCTTTCAACACAATACATGGCTTTCTTTTAGCTATGCATTATCAATGTGATTTTTTAAATTATTTGTGTCTTTGAAGAACTACTTAAGTAACTTACAAAGGGATTTAACTTGTTTATAAATGAGCCCTAAAAACTTTGACACAATTTGTTCAAAATCAATTAGAAATATTTATTCAAAGAAGTCAAGGAATGGAGTACCAAAATCTTTAGTTTTTGAAGCTTTTAGAGAATTGCAAATACTGAATCAAACATTACAGAAGTATTTTTAATGTATAGGTGACCTAAAAAAAGAAGTTTTTACGTATCAACAGGCAAACCCTTCAGCAGGCCAACAACCCCTCATAAAAGGCAAACTAAAATTAGAAATTTTCCATGTATCACAGATATTTAACAAGGAAGTCTATCTCTGTTCATGGATTTGAATGTAAATGTCTGGATTTTTAATTTTCTCTTCCCTTCTGGTAGGAATCCCCAAAGCAATAAATTAACATATACATTAGGACGTGTTAGGGGCTGGTGATACCCTAGCAAGTCTAGCAGAGCAAACACAAAACTTCCCTGAAGATTCTCACAGAAGAAGAAAATAATTCAGCCAAAGATTACCTCACAACCAAAAATTATGAATCAAGGAAAAATAATATACCATAAGCAAATACTAGCAGATACAAAACCAAGTAATATTAGCACCCTAAAGAACTCCATAATTGTAAAATCTGAGACTATAAAAATTTTGTTTTAAGTAATTAAAAAATTAGGGGGAAAAAGCAATGGAAACCATAAAAAAAGAACACGATACTGTTTTTCTAAATAACAACAAAACTAGATCATCTTTAAAAATGAATCAAATAAAACAGAGAAAAATGAAAAATATATGCCTTGAAATCAATTACTCAATAGAAGGATTAAACAGCATATTAGACAAAGCTGAACAAATAATGAATGAATCAGAAAATCATTTCAAGGAAATTATCCAAAATACAAGACCTTAATGAGAAAAAGGTGACAATAAATGTAAGAGGTTAAAACAACTTGCAGGACTAAATGAGGTGGTCCTATACATGTCTAACTGGAGTTCCAAAAGGAAACAATTCTTTGGAAAGTAGGGTCACTCCTAGACAGAATAAATGAAAGTAAGTCTGCAGCAATGGTCTTCAACACTGGCTGCACCTTACATGTATCACCTAAGAAACTTTAGAAACAAATTAAAAACAGTGCCTAGGTCCCCCTTCCCCCTCCTGTAATTTTGGAATTGGTGTGGAGTGGGTCAAGGTGTCTGTATTTTCTTCAAAGCTTCCCAAGCTATTTTAGTGAACATCCAGGGTTGAGAACTAGTGATCTACACCTAGACACAGCTAGAGAAACCACAGAACAAAATTAAAGAGAAAAATGTTAAAACAACTACAGAGAACTAATACTATCTACAAAATAATAATAGATTGACAAAAGACTTCTCAACAACAGATGCCAAAAGAATAATAAAACAATACCTTCAAAGTACTGAGAGAAAATAACTGTCAACCTGGAATTCTAAATAGCTAACTACCATTCAATAGTAATATCAAAATAGACATTTTTAGTCAGTCTAAGAGGTTACCATTTATAGAGTTTTGCTGAAATAGCTACTGAAGAAAAACACTGAACCTAGAATGGAATGGGATACAAGAAGAAATTGAAAACATAAAAGCAAAACACAGCAGACTACTGATGCCAGCTAAACTCACAGCTCATACTTCTTTTCCTAAGTAATCAATCAATCAGGATGTCAGTCCTTCTGGTCATCCATCCCAGTAGTTTGTAAACATGACCGAACAAACTGACCTCAGTTTTAAAAATAAGAACAAGGGCTTCCCAGGTGGCACAGTGGTTAAGAATCCTCCTGCCAATGCAGGGGACACGGGTTTGAGCCCTGATCTAGGAAGATCCCACACGCTGCGGAGCAACTAAGCCCGTGCGCCACAACTACTGAGCCTGTGCTCTGGAGCCCGTGAACCACAACTACTGAGCCTGAGTGCCACAACTGCTGAAGTCCACGTGCCTAGAGCCCGTACTCTGCAGCAGGAGAGGCCACCACAATGAGAAGCCCATGCACTGCAACTAAGAGCAGCCCCCGCTCGCTGCAACAAGAGACACCCACGCGCAGCAATGAAGACCCAACGCACCCAAAAATAAATTAAAAAATAAATAAATTTATAAAAAAAAGAATACATGGGTCCCACCCTAGATGTACTGTTAACTCTAGGAGTAAGGGCCGAAATTTTCTTAAAAGCCTACCAGATCAAGAGGATAATCAGGTTTAGGAACTTCAGATTTCTACCATTTCCTTCATTCAGCAGTTCTCTTAAAGTGTGGTTCCCTGGCACTACCTCTTAAAGTGTGGTTCCTCATATGGCAGCATCATCATTACCTGTGAACTTGTGGAAATGCAAATTCTCAGGACCCACTCCAGATCTACTGAATTAGAAATTCTGAGGATGGACTCTGCAACTGTGCTTTAGCAAGCCCTCCGGGTGATTCTGATGCCAGGTCATTTTTGAGAAAGCTGCTTTAATCTCCTGCTCTAAGTACCCTGTTCACACTTCCACATGAACAAACCCCCTGCTGCTGTCCTGCCTACAAAATCCTTCCATTTAGTCTTCTAGAGCAATGTACCATGGCTGACCAATTCCCAAACATTCTTAATCTCTTCACTGGATTTTTACATCTTTTGTCTTAACTGAACCTGGTTCACTTCTCTTACAGGGTCTTTACATAAAGGTTGTTCACTCTCCCAAACATCATGTAACTCAGGGTCTGGAAAGTGAGGTCTACTCATTCCCTAACTCCCTATAACACCAAAACATCTGGATAAAGATCTCACCTTTTCTGAGACTCTCCACTCTCATGGCTTCAGTTGTTAAGTGTATTATGATATTGACTTCCAAATTTCTCTTATGATGTTGAGACCAGAACCCACTACCTATCTCACACTTCCATCTGGATGTCCCCAGAGGAACCTCAAATCAATATATAAAAATCTGGGGACTGGGCTTCCCTGGTGGCGCAGTGGTTGAGAGTCCGCCTGCTGATGCAGGGGACACGGGTTCGTGCCCCGGTCCAGGAGGATACCGCGTGCCGCGGAGCGGCTGGGCCCGTGAGCCATGGCCGCTGAGCTTGCGCGTCCGGAGCCTGTGCTCTGCAACGGCCCGCGTACCGCAAAAAAAAAAAAAAAAAAAAAAAAAAAAAAATCTGGGGACTTCCCTGGCGGTCCAGTGGTTAAGACTCTGTGCTTCCAATGCAGGGGGTGCGGGTTCGATCCCTGGTCGGGGAACTAAGATCCCACATGCCATGTGGCCAAAAAAAAAACAAAAGACAAAAAAAACTGAACCTGCCATATTGTCCAACCCTGCTCTTCCTGTACTTTCTAATATAAATGAAGGCACCACAATTCAGCTATCCAATTATCTAAGTCTAAACCTATAAATCATCAATGGAATTCCTTATTCAAACATTCGATTAATCACCAATTACCATCAATTATTTCACCTTCTGTTAAGTTCTCTAATTCTCACCATCACAACTACTACTGCTATAGTACAAATTCTCCACCCTTACTAGGATTTCTTATACAGCAATAGCCCCCTAACTGCTCACTCTCTCTCAAGTATTGCACTCCTCCAATTCATTTTATAGTCCCTAAATTTCAAGAACATTTATTTTTAAAATCATGTGAACTTACAGTTTTAATACTTCTACTCTAAATCCATCATCATTCAACACAAGTTTTTAAATCTAGCTCTTTTACTCAATAGTTCTAGATCACCAACTTACTGATAATTTTATCACAACTATGTGATAATTTTACTTACTGTGATAATTTTATCACAACTATGTTACAAAGAATGTCAGTCAAAAAAGTAATTATCTAATTAAATCCAAATTAATGCTTAAAATTTAAGTGCTGTAACTAATAATTTCATCTATATGAGCTTCACTGCCACAAATTTTAGATTTTGTTGTAAATAATAGCACTGCATGTTTATAAGATGAGCAAAATAAGAACATGGTGAAAAGAAAATTTTTGAAACCCAGAGAAAGAAAACATCTCAGATTTTGAAAAAATGAAAACTCACCATACACACCTGCAGAACGAGTGGAACTGTTCATGGTAAAAGGTCCGTTAACGATGTCGGAAGAAAGAAGCTCATCAGATCCCCGCTGAAAAGCAAGAGCAATATTCTGTTAATAAAACAAGTCTTGGATAATGGTCCATATTTACTACTAAAAATATTAAAAGCTAATATTAGTTAATCTGAATATCAAGGCACTTAAGGGGAAGTCTTCAAGAATCATAAAATCTAAAGGTTGGAAGTGAACTTAATAGTAAACAAAAATTATTGAACATCCACATGATTGTTAGTTATAAAAAAGAGAATTGCCATCACATAATTGGGGGCATAATCCCACAACCCTTTTGAATGAAACTCAATTCTCTGAGATACTACATCTGAAGTGTCAAAAACCATACTTAGGGGTTGAATCCTGACATTGTTTTTGTAGTATATTTTTAAGTATATTTAGTATATTTTAAATACATTTTGGTATATTAAGTATGTTAAGTTTTGTAGTATATATATATTTTTATAAAGGACTGATGACTTTTTTGTTTTGGCTGCGTTGGGCCTTCGCTGCTGCGCGTAGGCTTCCTCTAGTTGCGGTGTGGGGACTACTCTTCACTGCAGTGAGCAGGCTTCTCACTGTGGTGGCTTCTCTTGTTGCGGTGCACGGGCTCTAGGCGCGGGCTTCAGTAGTTGTGGCTCATGGGCTCTAGAGCACAGGCTCAGTGGTTGTGATGCACAGGCTTAGCTGCTCCGCGGCATGTGGGATCTTCCCAGACTAGGGCTCGAACCCATGTCCCCTGCATTGGCAGGTGGATTCTTAACCACTGAATCACCAGGGAAGTCCTGTAGTACATTTTTAAGTATTTGCGTGCAAATAATTGTGTAGCACTCCCTTGACTTTTTCATAGATGTGTATTTTTAAAAGTTGAACACAAAGATGCAATTTATTTCTATATTGGTCAAATCCTTTAAATAAGTGATTTTTTAAATTCATTAATCCTTAAAATGATCTTTAATGTGTACTATTTCTTTCTTTCTTTCTTTTTTTTTTTTTGTGGTACGCAGGCCTCTCACTGCTGTGGCCTCTCCTGTTGCGGAGCACAGGCTCCGGACGCGCAGGCTCAGTGGCCATGGCTCATGGGCCCAGCCGCTCCGCGGCATGTGGGATCTCCACGGACCAGGGCACAAACCCGTGTCCCCTGCATCGGCAGGCGGACTCTCAACCACTGCGCCACCAGGGAAGCCCTGTGTACTATTTCTTAAACAACTACTGTTTAAGTAATTTAGACTTTTTTTCAGGTAAGAGTTTTGACCAATTCCAGAGTTGAACTGTCAAAGCTGAAAGACAAGTCAGTCTAGCCTTTTCATTGTAAAACCATAAGGTCTTTTACCAAGATTAAAATGTTTATATCTAGGAAGTACAATAAACACCATGTATAAATTTAAAAATAACCTATTTCAACTGGTAGTTTGTTCAGCTCTCGGTCAATTTTTTTTTGGCGGTGCCACACGGCTTGTAACATCTTAGTTCCCCAAACAGGGATCAAACCCCGGGCCCCCGCAGTGGAAGCATGGAGTCCTAACCACTGGACCACCAAAGAATTCCCAAGCTCGGTCAACTTTTAAGAACAAATATTTCAGTCTACTAGATGATAAAACCTAATCCCCAAACTATTCTACAAAAGTTATAACATCAACAGTGCTCCGACAGATATAATGTTTAGGGGTAAGGACCACTTCTGCAGGGAACAACCTCAGCCTTTGCTGAAGAAAAGCAAACCACCAATGCGTTTGCATAATATAAATACAATTATTTAAACAATTCCTGTATTAAACATCTAGAAATTATTCCCTTTGGTCTTTCACCCGTAAGTTTATAGAGACAGTTTGGAATAAGAGAAAGGAACTAAGTGAGCACGTGAGATGAAATAAAATTGAAAATCTCAAATTCCAGAAAGACTTGGATTATGACCTCACTAAAAGCAAAGGTCTTCCTGAGAATATGTGAAATACAGATATTGGCAGACAAAGACAGACTTCGTATAGCCAGTGGATATGGAAAGGTGAATTTTTGCAGTTTTAAATGTAGTAAAAAGTTAAACATGCCCAACATGTTTTTATATATGAGGAATTTGATAAACTATGTGTTACTAATAGATATATTTTCGACACATATGAGCGTAGTGTCAATATCAAATATCAATTTTCTACATGTAAATTGAATTAATTTGGTCTTAGAAACCACTTAGAGGGACTTCCCTGGTAGCACAGTGGTTAAGAATCCGCCTGCCAATGCAGGGGACGTGCGTTCGATCCCTGGTCTGGGAAGATCCCACATGCTGCGGTGCAACTAAGCCTGTGCGCCACAACTACTGAAGCCCGTGTGCCTAGAGCCCGTGCTCCGAAACAAGAAAAGCCACTGCACCACAACGAAGAGTAGCCCCCACCCACCACAACTAGAGAAAGCCTGCACGCAGCAACAAAGACCCAACGCGGCAAGGAAGGAAGGAAGGAAGGAAGGAAGGAAGGAAGGACGGACGGACGAACTTAAGAGATCACTTGAGCTCTTTTCTAGACTTGCAGGAGTATGTTAAAATGTCAACTAAATATTAATTCTAGGTGGACTGCAGATTGAAACGTAAAAGACAAAACAATAAAGACTCTAGGAGATAACAGAAAAAAGTATCTTCATAATCTTGTGGTAGGGAAAGATTTCTTAAACAAGAAACACAATTATTTAAAATAACTGATAAACTATACAAAAATGAAGTTATAATTTTTATTTACAATATATACAAATATTGAATCATTATGTTGTAGATCTGAAACATAATGTTACTTATTAATTATATCTCAATTTTTTAAAAAAGAATTTTATTAACAAAAGACATCATTAGGAGATTAAAAAGGCAAGTCATAGAGTGGGAGAAAATACTGCAGTACATATAACCAACAAAGATTGTATACCCAGAACTTACTAAGAAAAAGAAGAAAGGCTGGCAGGGGGGTACCCCACTAGGAACTGATATGAAAAAAATCAAGGTAACAGAAAATGACAAGAGAGTTGAACAGGCACCTCACAAGTAAAGTGGTATACTTTATTACTGTTCCAGAGTATTTGTGTCCTTCTTTTCCTGTGAAAGAATCATTCATCCCCACCTATGGCCACGTGACTTTCAATGCCTCTGAGTGGAGGATACCTCCCTGACCCATTGACCTTGAGCACAGTTTTGTGCTATGCTTTGCCCTATGGAGTATGTATGGACATGACCTAAATCCAAGCAGAACTTTTGAAAGAGTTAGTTTCTGCCGTTTTTCTTCCTTTTCCCCTTTGAAACAAGAGGAGCATGTCCCAAATAGAAGCTACTCTTTCAGCCTGATTCCCAGAATAAAAACATAACTGTATAGTTCCATAATAGCCACCAACTTTGTAAGTACACAAGAAATGTTTTTCTAAACCATATCTAAATGACTAATACCACACCCAACAAACGTATGAAAAGATGCTTAACCTCAATGGTCATCGGGGAATGCAAGTTAAAACCTCAATGAAATACAAACATATTAAAAGGGCTGACAATATCAAGTTTTGATAAGAATGTGAAGTGAGAGAACTGTTATATGTTGCTAGTGGGAGTGTAAATTGGTACAACTGATTCAATATACTAAAGTTGAATATATAAGTATCCTAGGATCTCTTTTATTCTATTCCTATGCATACACTCAAGAGATTGCCTGCTATGTGCACCTATACATATTAGAATGTTCTCAGCAGCATTATTTCTAGTAACCAAACTGGAAACAATCAAATGTCATCAACTACAGAATGAACAAATCTTTGTAAATTCATTCAATGATTTACAGTAAGGAGAATGAACTACTGCTCTACACAATAACATACAAAAATCTCATGTTAAGAAACCCATCACAAAATAATACATACTACATTGTTGCATTTACATAGAGTTCAAAAAGTAGTCACAACTAAATTATATATCTAAACTATGTATCTACTTGCAAAAGATGAAAATTGGACCCCTTTCTCACACCATATGCAAAAATTAACTCAAGAAGGGTGTATACGTAAATGTAAAACTATAACTGTAAAACTCTTAAAAGGAAACATAAAAGTAAATCTTTGTGGCTTTGGGTTAGGAAATGGTTCCTTGGTAACAAAAGCACAAGTGACAAAAGAAAAAAAAATACATTCATAAAAATAAATTAGACTTCTTAAAAAGTAAAAACTTTTGTACTTCAAAGGACACCATCAAGAAAATGAAAAGACAAGCCAGAAAATGGGAGAAAATATTTGCAAATCTATTATCTGACGAGGGACTGGTACCCAGAACGTAATCTCTTGTAACTCAATAATAAAAAGAGAAAATAATGCAATTTAAAAATAGGCAAAGGATCTGAACAGACATTTCTCCAAGAAAATATACAGACAATAAGCACATGAAAAGATGCACAACATCATGAGTCACTAAGGAAATGCAAATCAAAACCACAGAGATCACTTCAAATAAAAATTAAGACCATGACATCACTACATACTTATCAGAACAGTTAAAATAAAAAATAGTGACAATGCCAAATGCAGGTGAGGGATGTGGAAGAAACTGGATGTCTCATACACTGCTGAAAGGAATGTAAAATGGTACAGCCACTCTGAAAAGTTTGGTGGTTTCTTAAAAAACTAAACATAAAGAGCAATCTCAAAAGATCACATGCTCAACACAAAAACTCACATGTTCTATGATTTCATTTATATAACTCTCTCAAAATGACAAAATTATAAAGATGGAAAACTGACTAGTAGTTGCCAGGGGGCAGAGAAGCTTGGGAGAGATAGTCAGTATGATTATAAAAGGGTACCATGAGGGAGATCTTTGCGGTGATGGATTAGTTCTGTGGTGAGAATTACATGAACCTACACATGCAATAAAATGAAACAAAACTATACACAGGCATTGTATCAATGTCAATGCCCTTGTTTTTGTTGCTGTTTTCTTTAAATAATTTATTTTATTATTATTTTTTAACATCTTTATTGGAGTATAATTGCTTTACAATGGTGTGTTAGTTTCTGCTGTACAA